AGAATTGTTTTGAGGGGGGAAAGACTTACCATTTCCAGCTGTTTTTATTTTATAGTTATGTAAAACACTTGTCTGGCTCCAAAATCCGATCTAGAGTCGAGGTGTTCGCTGACATCTTGTCTCGTTCCCTCCTTTTCTTTCTTTCTGTCTCCCTCTCCATCAGTTTTTGGCTTACTCTTTTATTTTTTACATGTAAGTAAGTCTGAGTGTCCTCATAGAATCACCCTCGCAATTGATGCACACACGCATGCACGTTCACATCCTCTGCAGAGAAAAGGAAGCCCAGACGCTTCTGGTGATGGGGTGTTCTGTGTCTCCACCACTCAACATGGCAGCCACTAGCCACAGTGGGGCTGAATATGGCTAGTGTGACAGAGGAACTGAAATTTTAGCTGTATTTCATGCAAATTCATACACATTTAAATAGACCCACTGGTGAATGGCAACTTCACAACAGAAGCAGAGCGAGTCCTGGATCCTTTCAGAGCTGAGGGTTCGCCCCAGCCCACCTCAGACCAGTCTGAATATCTGGTAGGGGGGGAGGTGGGGGGAAAAAACTGCTTCTGGCTTCTCATGGGTGGAGGCTAGGGAAGCTGCTCTGCATTCCACAGTGCACGGCCCACAGCACAAAGCGATTCAGCCGAAAATGGCGATAGAAGCGAGCTTGAGAAACCTGCCCTGGGTGGATAGATATGGGCAACCAGAACAGCAACTGACCACACCACGTAGCTTCTATCGTAACTCAGAGGAGAGTTGAGCAAGCCCAGCTGGGCCTCCACTCAGATCCATCCACGTGCACACCAGGGGCCTCCAACAGATTCCTTAGCAGCTTCTTCATCAACACAGTAACTTCTACTAACGCTCTGGTTATCAGAAGGATGCCCAGGGCGAGGTCACTGAACGCCTCTTTGGAACAAAAGCACTTGTGATGAGAGCAACTGGTGAGAGCAACAAGAATCACCCTGACAGCCAAAGCAGAAGCGCATCGCCAACTGAGGGCACTGCCAGGCAAGGTCTCCACTCCCATCTGCCTGTGGGGGCCACAGCCCAGCCAAACACTGATTCACATGGCAACCAAGACAAAGAACCAAATGACTCATCAACGTACATGGTGGTAGAGGAGTGGTTTCTAGAATAGATGTGTACAGAAAAAGCCTGTATAGTTCAAAATCAACCTAGAAATAAATGCCTTTAGCGAGCAAACTCTGCAGCCACCCAAGTCCAAAGCAGTCCGTATCTCCTCTAGTTGTGAAGCTCAGCTGAGCACCAGGTCAGCAGTCTGCCCGTGTTCAGAAGCCATTCTGCACATAAAGTGTGTTTTCCAAACACTCAGAAAGCCCACACCTTGAACGCAGGCAGAAACTTCAGCGCCAACAAGGGACAGTCAGATTCTCAACCCCAGTCAGACCTACTCTGGGACAACTCCTGGCTGAGTACAAAGCCAGGCAGAATAAACTGAACTGTTGTGTTATTTTCCCTCCATTCACCCCATCCCCAAATCACATAGCTGCCTGTGGCAGATCCGGAGGCCTGGCCTGCTCCAGCACAGCCTGGCGCCAACCTCTGTAGTCTCTGTAGCCATGTACCTGCGACCTGCACGTGGGACTTGAGCCAGGTACTAATAAACATTACTAATTCACCCACCAAAAGATTCCCAGTACTTCCTCTGGTCCGGCTACCGTCAATAGCCACCCCGCTACACATTCCCCAGGGAGGGGAAATGCAGCCCAGTTCACAAGGCCTAAACCTCAGGGGCCTCCAGTGCCCTGGGGTCAGGTGCAGCGTTTCCCACGCCACCCTCACGCCTTCCCCTCTGCAGCAGTCTTCCTCCTAAAAGGGGCGGTCGAGTGCCATCACTGTCGTTTTCCTGTTTATAGGGTACGCACACAGCAATTCAAGACCAGATCCTGTGGAACCATTAAGCCTCTGCCTGTAGGAAGCTACCAAAGGGCCACCTGTTCCTCAAGCAGGGAGGCCAGCGCTCTAGGAGCCAGGAGCCTCACGCCTGGTGCTGGGGCCAGCTCCGCCCCACATAACCATGTGGTCGTGGGTGAGTTACTTACTTCTGTGGGCCTGCTCTCTTCTTGATTGTGGCCTCCTCCCCGGATGAGACGGATAAAATGAGAGAATCCACACAGAGGGCTGGCACAGAACCTGTCCCACTGAAAGTGCCCAATCATGCCATCAAAGACAAACACAGAACAGCTTCTCTGCTCACCCTGAAATGGCCCGAGACCTGCACTATCAGAGTCTGGACTTCAGAGGGCGTGGCCAGAGCGGCAGAGACACTCCCGTGTGCACCAAGCACTCCTCTAGCCGAGTACCTGAGAGC